AACTCTTTATGTATATGAGTCACATTAATAACAGCACAGAGTGGACACTGTGGACATTAATAACAGTGTACAGTTGCAGAGAGCATATAACACAGTACATACACTGGCCACATCAATAACAACTTATAACCTCCAACTGCAACATGAATCATCATGCCACGTGTACACTGGAAGTCACACATGCAAACACTGTGTCCATAAAATACCTAAAAATAGAAAATCAAAGTCATTAGCTATGAAAAGCTAAAATTATCTACGTTTCTTCCTCTGTTAGGTGGACTATTAGAAACCATTAGCTTTGGGGGAAAAGTAAATAGCTTGTTTTTGTTCTTTTGTAAGTGTTGACTTCTTCTGCCTGCTCCTCCACATGCTGGGTGATGCATGGTGGGGATAGCTAATGAAGCCAATAATGTAGCAGTGTGTGTCTAATGACAGAAGATGAGCTCAGGTTCCATACAATTCACACTTCATTTTAGTGCGTTTGTGTGTAAACATGATTACATTCATGAACCCAAGCTTCCTCTTGCTGTACTTCACAGAAAATCTCCAACATCCAATTTAACATATTTGTGTATTCATATTCATAAATCCCTTGAAAATCATTAACTCCCAGACTCATTGACATGTGAACGACCCACATCCTTCATCATGTTACCGCGTCCATGCTAGAGACATCATATTTTAAACTACACGTGCAGTGTTGCTGGGGTTTTAAAGTATAATAGCAGTGCATACCGTGTTACACAGAAACAGGGAGCAGATGAGACTGCTCAGACGATGCCTGTGATGTCCACCTGCTGTGAGAGACAATAACCAGATGTGAAGAGGAGAGTTTGACACATGCAAGTCTGCTCATTGTGGCCAATTACCAGGTTGAAGCATGCTTCTGGCAGGCACTGAGCCAGAGAGAGAGAGTGTCACACAGCCTGGTTTTCTAATCAAGAGCATGCAATCATTTGAATTAGAATCTTACTCTGCTCTGGTGTTTTACTCTGCATAATGTTTCTATTTTTAGGCTCTAAGGGTGTGACTGACTGTGGTGACTTGGACATTTCTGCCACTGTAGATTTTAAAAAACAGAGCTAGATCAAAGCAAAACAACAGATGTTTATATCAACATGTGTGTGTGTGTGTGTGTGTGTGTGTGTGTGTGTGTGTGTGTGTGTGTGTGTGTGTGTGTGTGTGTGTGTAGTACTCTGCAAGGTAATGATCAAACTCACTTGTTGAGGGCCTGTTTCTCCTCGATTAACCATGCAGACATAAACAGAGAGTTCGGACTCAGAGCCGCTACCTGCTTCCTGAGCAGGTAAATGATTCGAAAAAGGTTGTAAAAGTCTGATTAATGCAGGATTGGAGAACAGGATGGTGAGATAGTGAAAGAGAGTAAAAGAGAGAGAAAGAGAGAGAGAGAGATGACTAAGCCTGTTCTCTCAAACGTAGCACTTTGCAAATATGGCACTTTGTTTCCGTGATGTGGAAGCTTATTATCTTAATATGCATTCTTTTATTCCCCCTATAAAACACTGGCAGAGGAGAGCGTGGTGCCATTCTTCATGCTCCTCCTAGTAATAGCTTCTCACAGCTCCTCATTCTATTACAAAAGATACAACAGTTAGTTAAGACCCCACGAAAAATTTCATTTTCTGTCCTGCTAATTAAATGTGTCTCACATCAGCCCACTGAGCCCACTCGAATGGTTGTCCCCCATTTGGAGTGCCACCAGAGTTTAATATATGGCATTAAACAGGGATTGAGAATGAATATGAAGCCTACCTCCCAATGGGAATGTAATGAATGATTATAAGGCATAATCTTGGTAATGCAGAAATCCTTTAGTTTAGTTTCTGTTGTTTTATTTAAGTTTCTGTCTGTTAAATATGGTAATGTATTTGGCTATTTTTGGCACACTTAAAATTTTGAATAGTGTGAGTGGGGTTATAAAATGCAGATACATAAAGTGGGCTTTAATGAGATTTTTTTCCTTAACGCTCTCAATCCTCTATTTCCTTTCTTTGTCAGAACATTGTGATAATATTTTATAGATCATTAGGATCATAAGTTGCCATATTTGTCTTAAATCAATTGTATTTCTGAATGTTATTTATTTTACAGACCTCACAAGTAGCTCCTTCTTCTACAAATATATTTAAGCAAAACATTTCTACTATAAAGGTGGGTAGCAAACCAACCAACATGTATATCCTCTGTAAGTGCACAACTTCAGGGAACCCCAGAGGCAAACAAAAGGTTAGAATGCTGAAAATAAAAGTGAGGTGTATTGCAGTGTGGCACATAACTCATACTGTAAAGAGGATGTTTTAATAGATGTAACAATTAGTAAAGTATCTGTATCAGTAAATCATGGGGAAGTCCAGGAGCACTGATTATCCTTTACCCAGGATGCATCAGTGTTCTCCTGGGGTGAACTCCTAAAGTGCAGACAGTGTCTCATTAACATGTACTGTGGCTGGGTTCCACATGTTAGCCCAGACTATTAACACAAAGCTGGTTTATACATGTAAGGTCGGGCATTATCAATGTTACAAAAGAGTTGGATGTTTTCATTCACAAATCATTTGACTGCAAGGCTCTGAGTTCACAAACTGACACAAATATTAGAGTTTAAAATAATTTACAAGTATTTATTCCTTTTAAAGATTGGTTTTAGGAATGTCATTCTTACCGTAAGTAAACACAGTCTCAATTTTGAGTGGAGGGAAGCTACTCAGTCCACTTGGAATATAATAATAATAATAATAATAATAATAACTTTCATCCAAATTGAATTTATTTTGACAAAAAACATCCCCAAATGGAGCTGATCTGGGTGTTCTCCATCACGGTGTGTGGTATTATTTTTAACATAATTAGATATGTCATAATAATATAACACTGGTGTGCAAATGCTCTTAACTTTCTTTTATACTAAGACTGTGTAAGTGGTCCTCCTCCTGCTGTATAAGCTTATTTTAGGATATATGCCTAAGTGCAACCACTGTATAGTGCAGGGGAAAGAAATCATCCCTGATAAAATAAAGACAGTAGGAAACTTCATGGTAGGGAGCTGCCTATGTGAAACTCCAAAGAGAGACAGAATGAGGTGCAAACAGGACTATTAGCTTTCAGTAACACAGCTGATGCATTGGCTCTGGACTCGTTTGTTAACCCTTGAGACTCCCGGCTGATAAATCCTGGTTTAAGAGATCTGGCAAACCCAGAGCTCACGCAGCAGCTGGTGTCCACTGCTGCATCAAATATGAACCTGTGTGGGCATATGAAACTGCTCTTTGTGTCTGCTGGTGACTTGTGTGTCAAACTATTTTACATATACTATAAGGAAATGATCATTTTGATGACTTTTGACCCTACACACTGCACATTCACAGTCATTACCCACTGTCACTGTCTGCATAAAGAATTTTGGCACAGGCACTTTACGTGGACATTTGCACAGACATTTCTGACCTAATATTTTAGATTCTGTATACTGTATGTAGTTTTGTACACAGATATTTTGTATATAGTTTTCTTTTATTTCTACTTCTTATACCTTGTGTTTCCTTTTAATAGTATTCAGCGTGGAAGGCAAAGGAAGAATTTCATTTCAAAATTTCACTATATGACACTAAACACTTTGACTTGACTTTTTTGGGTTATTTTGCCACTTTTACAGGACTAAAATATGACATTTTGCATATATCAGGATCAATTTTATTCACTCTATTATGTTTATTTACCACATAATTGTCCTGTCATTAAATGTGATGTTATGGTGGTTAAATGACAAATAACTGTATAAACAGCAATATGTACTAAATATGTATTGCTGTTAGTCTGAAGTACTTTTCCTACTGTATGTCTTAGTACCAGTCTGAATTTACACTACAACAGCAACAACAGAGTAGCATCAGATGGGACACCTCATCTGTTTAATATTTATTCAAAAGCATCAGAGGGGCCTCTGTTGTGTGTTCTAATGAATAAAACACGATGTTTATCCTTCCTGTTTAACGTTAAGTCCCCATGAACAGTCATAGGGACCAAGAGAATATTTACTTGCACTGGGACACGGGGGAGTTGGATTATCTGCTGGCGGCTTTGTATTTTTCTGAAGCTTTCCCGTGTGACATGTTCCAGGGAGAGTGCTCTTATTTACTCTCCAGTCCTCTGTGTATAGTCCTCTTATTGTTTGTTCTTATGTGCCACCACTCCTGAGGAATGTGCTCCAGAAGAGAAAGAGAGAGAGGAGCATGATGCTGTGATCAGTACATGGGATTGAGACTATAGAGTCCAGAAGGACACAGGTGGAGGTGTTGTCACTTCAGAGTATTCCATTATGTTGACAAGGACTTGTATGTATAATGTGAATACATTACCATGGGATGCAGGTGTAAGAAAATGGGTTTACAGTTTTCTCCTTAAAGAAAAATAAATGACTTGTGTATAATTTAAATAATGTGTTTTGTTGTTGTTTTTACTTTAGTTTGTTCGTTTGTTTTCTTTTTATCATGAGGAGTCATGGAAGTAAATGTTTGTCCTACTAAATAATCCAGCAAGACTAACAGAGAGCAGACAGGACTCCCCAAGAGAAAAGGGATTTAAAAAAAACATTTGCACACTGCAAGAATATCGGACACATGAAGACCTTTATGGGAGCCACATGAAGTATTCTCTTATACCGAAAGGTGGCGACGTTGGGTTTCCAAATAATGTCAATCCGCCACGCTCTTTTCAAACACTTTCACCTTCCTCACACAACGGTCCGTTTTATCTGTAATAATCGATTTCTGTAGACTTTATGTGGTATATGACCATTTATCAATCGCCCAGTGAAAACCATTAACATGTATTTTGAAGCATTAAATTTCCAGATATTTGGGTAAAGTGACTAAAACGGTTGTGTTGTCATAGAATTATGAGATCAATTTGCCTCCCTAATTACAAAGCTGCCTACATATATTATTGAAATGCACCTGTGCAATGTCTTGCTAAATCAACACAGTAAATGAGAGCAGGGTTAAGAAAGCCTGACTAATCATCAGACAACGCTGAAACAAGCAATATTGGTATCAAATATGACCCTACAATTACATTTAAATGATAGGCTATGTTATGTGATTATTGTGATGATGGAAAAACTTAAAATATAAAATATACGTGTTGAAATTATAACGACGTGTTAATCTACAAAAAGATAGACGTGCATATTTACCATAATATATCTTTTCTTAATCCTCGAATCTGTTTTCATTTACGTGGTTTTGTTGTTTTCCATTCAAACTGGCAAAAGGGACAATGGCCTATTTAGTCTCATGTGTCAATCTGCTGATGGGCTTGGACAGTTCAGAAAACTTTGGTTTCTATACTATTATGCTAATTACATCCCCGGGCTGGGCTCCTCATTGGCTGAGTCTCAGTCAATTTCATATTTCAGTTCTGACGTCAGGGCGCCTATAAAACTAAGCAATGCTTTTTAACTCGTCGGCTGACTGATCCCTTAGAAAAAAAATCTATCAATCCTTGGGTGGAGTGTTTTTTTTTCAGTCTCCACAAAGCAACTATTTGCCCGGGACACGTACGTGAACCTCCTCAATTTGGCGCACTAATCCTAAAAGGAGCCATGAAGTGTTAAATGGTAGAAACAGAGAGAGCGGCGCTCAGACACCCGCACGCTGGGAGAGAGGGAGGAAACAGCGCTGCTCCAATGCGTCTGTGCAACACAGACTGAAGAAAAAAAAAACTTATCGACTCACAAAACCAAAACCCGCGCTGCGCAATTAGTGCGAGGAAATTCACTTTTTCTTCCTGTTTTGAAGAAAATAAATAAAGAAATCAAGCTGGCTCAGTGCGTGTCTCAGCAGCCCACTTTGACAGGTGCTCCTCACCCCCTTTGGAGGACTGTCAACAGCAAGAGGATGGCATCAGAGCTGGCAATGAGCAACTCCGACCTGCCCACCAGTCCCCTGGCCATGGAATATGTTAATGACTTCGATCTGATGAAGTTTGAAGTGAAAAAGGAGCCGGTGGAGCCCGATCGCAGCATCAGCCAGTGCAGCCGCCTGGTCGCCGGGGGATCCCTATCTTCCACCCCGATGAGCACGCCTTGCAGCTCGGTTCCCCCCTCTCCAAGCTTCTCGGCGCCCAGTCCGGGATCAGGGAGCGAACAGAAGGGGCACTTGGAGGATTTCTACTGGATGACCGGGTACCAACAGCAGTTGAACCCCGAGGCTCTGGGCTTTAGCCCGGAGGACGCCGTAGAGGCGCTGATCAGCAGCAGTCACCAGCTCCAGACCTTCGATGGCTATGCCAGAGGGCAGCAGTTCGGCGGCGCAGCCGGCGCAGGAGGCGCCATGGCCGGGGAGGAGATGGGCTCAGCGGCCGCCGTGGTGTCCGCGGTTATCGCTGCAGCCGCAGCTCAGAATGGGAATCCCCACCACCACCACCACCATCACCACCACCATCACACAGGGGCACACCACCCCTCCTCCGGGTCTCAGTCCAGTGGTGTCGCGGGGGGAAACCACCAGCACTTGCGCTTGGATGATCGGTTCTCGGACGAGCAGCTGGTGACCATGTCGGTGCGGGAATTGAACAGGCAGCTCCGGGGGGTCAGCAAGGAAGAGGTGATCCGTCTGAAACAGAAGAGGAGGACGCTAAAGAACAGAGGTTATGCCCAGTCATGCCGGTACAAGCGGGTTCAGCAGCGGCACGTCCTGGAGGGAGAGAAGACGCAGCTTATCCAGCAGGTGGACCACCTCAAGCAGGAGATCTCCCGGCTGGCCAGGGAGAGGGACGCCTACAAGGAGAAATACGAGAAGCTGATCAGCACCGGCTTCAGAGAAAACGGAGGATCCAGCAGCGACAACAACCCCTCATCCCCGGAGTTTTTCATGTGAGTCTCGGCGCTGAAAAGTTTTAATAACCGACCCCACAAAGAAACAGAAAAAAACTTTTGATTTGCGCGCAGCTAAAAATAGGTTGCGTTGCTGTTTTGAAGTGGTTTGTTAAACCTGCTTTAGTTAAGGACAAACGAGGTTTCCACTTTTCTGTATTTCAAAAGTATTTTGTTTCAGGTGAGGGTCTTGTTTGATTTATGTTTTATCACTTCTAAGGGACACACAAATAGGCCTATTAAATGACTGAATACGAATTCGGTTTCCACTAAATTCTGAAGGATTTTTGTCCGATTTGTTTGTCTTTAGACACACTGCATATAATCACTTCACACTTTGCTGAATGTGTCCGCCCTTGTAGCCTCATCCTGCGCCTCGTCCATCCTGTTCCCTTTACCCAGAATTTGTTTTGTGGAATTAAATGATCCTCCGGCACAGCAGCTTTATTTCGATGTGAATTCATTTTAGTTTTTTGTTTAAAGTCAATTATTTTGATATGAATAATCTCATTTTCATCATTCATCATATCTTGTGAAAAAGCATCCAAACTCAGTTACAGCAGAAGTTTGGAAAATTGATGTCAGACTGTAACAGTTATGTGAAGCCATGCATGCTGGTCATGTAAGGATTGTGTTTTTACTTTTTTTTTCTTTTTCCTTATTTTGTGAACTTGTGTATTATGATTGTATTATACCATGACTGCATTGTCCAGCCTCATCACCTTTTGGGATTTATTCATCCCTCACTTTGCTTTCATAAAACCTCCCCGCGAACATGGACCCTTCAACATTTTAGAGGCATCTTTTTGGAGCCCTGTGAAAAAAAGGACAATGTGGAATAAGCAACTTTCTACTCAATATTGATTTATACTGACAGGCAACACGCTATCAAGGAAAGCAGCATCAGAATATTGAGTAGAAAATAATATTTCCTGACAAAATGCACAGACTAAATAGATTATTGCGATCAACAAGTGGGGCTGAAGATAAAATGCTTTGAACAGAGGCAGATTATGATGCATGTCCTTAAATAAGTGAGAAATAGGCCACTTTGTCACGCACATTATTGCAACAAATGATCTGTTCTTTCTGCAGTTCGTTGTTAATGTGTTTTCCTTTTATTTAAGGAACTGAAGTGAGTTTACCGGGGACCCTATGGGTGTTATTCGGTAAATAAACTGTGAACTGTTTGAAAGTGGAAATATAATATTCTCCCGGTGTTATAGAATAATTAAGCAAAGAAACATGCAGTCATATACATCTTTTGTGATGCCCTGGATTTCTACACAGTCAAATGTATTGTCTGGACAGTACAGTCAACTGGCAGACATCCTGTTCACTCTTAAAAATGAAATTTAATAAATTTACCATTCATCAATAAACCTTCATGAATGGAAACAAATATATTCTCCTGAACATATTTATTATTTTTGTTCTCTAGTTTTGCATGTTGTTTGTCACTGTGCCTTTGAGGCGGCACCACACAGTCTTCTCATCTCCTCTCTATCTTAACTGGAATATAAATAGAAGGAGAAAATGACAATTGCAAACGTCATCGAGAGAACATAAACATCTGATTGATTGATTAACGCGGGAGACAGATGTTGCGCGCAAGGCGCATAAGTATAACTGATCCACGATCCAGCTCTCATGTATCTACTGAAGTAATTTTATGTTGTGACTAAATATGCGTTTTTAATTCTTTCCCCCCATTAAAACCACACGGCGAATTCTTACAAGGCATTTTTTTTTTTGATGACTTTTGCTTCTCAAAAAATAAAAGAGACGGTCTTCACCTGTTGCATAATTAAAGACAAACTCTTAAATTTCTCTTAAAAGAAAATGTGACCACAATGTTCAACATTAATAATATAATTTTATGTTTGTCTCAGGGCTTAATAATTGTGCTGCAGGTGTCCATGAAAAGGCCAAGTTAATGATTGATGTTAGAGTAAACTTGCACTTTTTACTCGGTAGCTGGCCACTTGTTGAATATTGTCTGCGGGAAGATCAATTTCAAATCGACAGCAATCAAGGTTTACATGACAACATACTCGTCTCAATAAGATGAGGCAATATACGATTAAACATGTCTAATTTTGGAATTATGAATTCTGACTCCGTGCAAATAATTCCTTCTGAAAATTTACTTTATGCAGTCAAAACGTTATAAATATACAGTGGTTATATGATTTTAATAAATTGCCTATTTAGACTAAATGATGCTTAGTAGCAATTATAGCGTGACAAAATTTTCGCTATGGTAAAAGTGATATGGCCCTAGGAAATTTGGCAATCCACCTCTTTCGCTTCACTGTAAAGAGCCTTTGTTTGACTTCTGACATAAAAACGCTGATAAGAGAAAAAGGAGAAAAGCCACAGGAGGCACTCGAAGTAATTTGCTTTTGTTGCGACTGACAGGTCCAGTAGCCTGTAACCTGCCGCTGCTCTGGACTTAACCTGGCCAGTAGAGTGTTACTCCTCCTGAAATCAGCCTGGTGAACTCAGTGCATCCTAAAGAGAAGTATGGTTAAGATAAAAGCTGCACAAGGTCTGTGTCAGGCTGCCATACAAAGTCACTGACACCACAAAGCATGCTGCTAGAAAACTGTGTAGCTATGTGTGTGTGTGTGTGTGTGTGTGTGTGTGTGTGCGTGCGCGTGTGTGTGTGCATCGTTTATGAGTGTGTGTAGAGGAGGGATATTATCTTTTTCCCATTGCAGGACCTTTGACAGTCTGAGTTTGTGCATGTGCTGTGTGTCTGTATATTCAAATGTGTGCGTAAAATGCTTTAAAATGCAGCACACTCTGCATTAGCTCTGTGTCTCACCTGTACAACAGTGTCACACACACACTACACACAGTCACCTGCCTTACATTGGCTCCCATGAAAGCCCAGAGTGAGGGACAAGATGGGAGAGCAGATCCCCTCATGCCTGGAGGAATGATTTTCTATGTGATTAAAAGTGAGTGAGAGACAGAGACAGAGCAAGAGGGAGAGAGGAGAGAAAGATGCTGGCTGCCTTCCTGCTCCTTTCAGATGATAAACGATCAGAGATGCATCCTAGCTGAGAGGAGAGGACCTTTTAGTGAGCATGTGTCCACTAATTTATGGCCCTCCTATCTGATTAGGTCAATATAGTGTGCTATTTAATTACATTTGTGTTATAACCTAGAACTGGAGATGCTATACTTCTTTCGTGGCACCTCTTTCTTCTGCGAGGTAGATAGGATTAGTTCAGTTTTCTTAAGAGTCTCAGGATGTTTACCTGCTGTGTATCACCAGTGTCATGTGACAGACAGGAGGCCTGCTTTGTGTTATGGTTCATAGGTTTCCAGTGTTTGTGCTCCGTTATTCAATACGGAAGAATGATAAAGTGGAAAACTGCTGATCAATGTGAGTGTGTGGAAATTGTGTGGGCTTTCTGCTTGTGTGTCTGTGTGTGTGTGTCTTTTGACTTCTAGACACACCGAGGGGCAGGAGGATTCAGTAGCACTGATTCACTTCCTGTGATGAAGGAGGACAGAAGGCACAGGAAACAAGATTTCAGCGCTTCCTCCTCATTTCTCAGCACTCTTACCATTCGCTGCTTCTTTTCTCTGTCTTTTACATCCTCTCTTTCATTTGTACAGTGTGAAAAAGTGTGCACATATAATATACAGACGCACACAGACACACAACATTATTAATGTCATCAGTATGAACTTTAATTTTACTCTCCAGCCCAGTATATTGACTTCTGCACTGTGATCATTTGCAGTCTGTCCAATGATTAGGTTATTAAAGATAATGTAGTTGTCCGCTGTCACAATATTGGGCTCTCTCTTTCAGGTCAACTATGGGAAATCACTTTGAAATTTATCAGTATTGACATTTGAATCATAGTCATGTACTTTGCTTTAATGCATTAGAACTAATAGGACAAAGGATGTGCACACTTTTTAGTGTCTATTTGTGTGAGTGCTCAATAACCAGCCAGCACTGTCTTTTATTTGACCTTGTGGTAGAGGGGTGTATGTATGCTTTAACTGAATGCATTAAGTCTATAGGAATGAGTCATTTTATCATGACATTGTGATGCTTGTAGCTTTTTATGTCAATCAAAAGGGAAGCTAAATAATTACAACAATTATAAAGTACAACAAATGATGTTAACATAATCTCACTTAGTAGAAAAAACTCAAAAGGTAAAAAAGAAATACATTCATTTAAAAGCAGCTGAAACAAAGTTTAAGTTACTCCAATACTTCCTCTATCATAATCACAAGTGTTCAGTTGAGCAGTAAGAAAACACTTTATTTGTTAAAATACTACCTGAGAAAGCATTCTTATCTTAACTTGTCAAAATGTCAAAAATATATACAATCCACCATGTTATCATTTTATCTACTATAGCTGAATGAAAAATCATATTTCTTGTATTACTAAAAACTCATTTGTTAACAATTGGACTCACATATCTAATTTCTTTTCTGTGTGAGTTCATTTTCTTTTCTTCCCCGGTGAGTGCTATACCTTCCCGTGACAAACTCCCCAAAGGGTTAAAAACATATTTGCATTCAAAAGAGGAAACAATTTCAATCTCTTCCACTCAATCCGCATCTGCATCACTCCACGCGATAAACATTTACATTTAAAGTGATTTAAATCAGCTGCGTTTATGTTCCTCTGTGGTCCGTCCATCATCTAGACCTGCAGAGCTTCTCTCCCTCTCTCTCTGTCTTGCAGTGTCCTGAGTTATGTGTCATTTATTTGAAACCCTAATAATTTAACTTGTCCCCTCCTGTCACGGCTGTGCATGTGGCAAGAATGCAGCAGTTGTAAAGAAGGTTTGTGTTGCTGCCTCTGTGTGTATCTGTCTACATTGGCTTTACATGGTGATTTCTTTTCCTGCAAATAAAAGCATGGGCAGAGTGGAGGTAATGTGATTGTCTGAATCCAATCCTATAGTCATGTGTTGAATTGAGATTACTGTAAATGCTCAGCTGTAGAAGAATGTGCATACAGGCCCATGTAATGTGTCTCATGTTTTGTGTTGCAGTGTGACTCAAACACTAGATTTGCATTTGCTGGTATAAGAAGCTCTCCTCAGAATGCATAACTAAAGGGCAATAGATGAAAGCTAATTATGATTTAATTATATGTGATTACAATATTTTGACTCACAGATAAACATAGTTGAGGCTGTGTTGATATTTTCAACGGTGAGTTGAGTTGCAGGGCACAGAGTCAATGGAGTGGTGTGTTTTGGACTGCAGCGGACGTGGCGGGGTGGTGGTGGTGGTTGGGGGCTGTGCTTGTGCACAAGTCTGTGTTATGCAGGGTGGAGCTGGAGCCGAGCCTGACCCCTGTGTGTTTTACCTGCATCTCAATGAAGGGAGAGAGGTGATTTACCCTTCTACTGCAGTCAGTCTCTCTCTCTCTCTCTCTCTCTCTCTCTCTCTCTTTCTCTCTCTCTCTCGCTGTCTCTCAGCCAGTCAAACAGACATTGATCTCTTTGCCAGGCAAGGTGACCCACAGTGTTGTTCAGCTCTTCCAAAGTCTCTCCTCTCCCTTTCATTTGTACCTGGGAAAGGCCTTGACCCCACACACTGCTGCCATGTCGCCGCCCTCCTCACATGGACCTCACTTCCCCCGTATCAAGCCCAGTGTGTGTGTGTGCTTGTTTGAGTTAGCAACAGTGCACACAAAGTACATGTATGTGCAAATAGGAGTGTGCAGCGAGTGTGTGTATGTATGAGTGGGAGTGTGCATACTTGAGTACATGTGTAAATTTTCCTCTGTGTGGGTTTCAGGCTCTTTGTTTGTGTTTACCTATAGGTGTGCATAATCTCATAAAAACTATAAATTCTCAGCAGAATTTAGGTACCGCAGAGAGTCTGGTCTGTTTTGTTCATGTTGATGTTTCAGAGCATTTTCCAGGTGACGGCAGATTTCACTCTGCTGTAGGTCTGCCACTGGGAACTTCTATGTAGCTGAATGGGTCAGAGTCCATTTGGCCCCAGTGTGAATCGGATTACAGGAAAATGAATGGCTCTCATTGTTGCTTAAAGATGGATTGAGGGGCATTAATATACTTTGTCGCTCCTTCGCCTCATTTTGCTCTACTGAAGCCCAGCAAAATGTTTTCAGGATGATTCGTCACTTGGATTTTGAAACCAGGTTTTCTGTATCGGTAGTCGTCCCTGACATGGGTTCATATAATGTCCACTTGTGTGCAAATGTTATGTTCACACACAAATGTGTGACTAGTGACTACCCTGCTGTCAGACATGCTGTAGATATCTGAATGCTTAATTTCCATCCACTAATAGATATAATTTACAATTTTGTTAAATTATTTTATATATTGCACTTAAAATTGTTATGTTTTGTAATGAAAGACCACATAATTATAAAAGCAAGGTGTATTATCAAATATTATCAAACACAATGTTATAACCTGAAATTGATTTTAGATATACATTTGATGTGTATTGATTTTGCTTTTCAAATACACTGCAGTGCGCACATGTGTGTGTGCCTTCATTTCAAATCTAATATCTGATGTCTGATCGAGTGAAACATTTGATTGATTTTATTTGAATGAGCATTTGATTTAAGTTTTGTTTTTGTGTTATTTGTTTGTGTTTGGTGTTGCTTAATATATAGCCCTGCTTATAGTTTGTATGGGATAATTCTGAATAGTTTAAACTGTTCATCTGAATTTGCCTTGAATTTAAATATGTAAAGATTATAATTCCAAATTGCTTTATTTTATGAATTAATCTGGGTAAATTATACAGAACAATATAAAAACCACAAATGTATTATTCGATGAAAGTTTGGTTTTCTAAAAGGAATAATATTAATTTCCAGAGTAATACAAGTAAATTCTGACTTTATCTTTGCTCCCCCCAACATGTCACTTTTCTTTGAATTCATGGTCCGTTTTGGAACCAAAAACAATGTTCGAAGTATGTAATGTCTGTGTTGTTGGATCAGATTGTACGTTTTATAGTACATTTCTGTTTCCTGTCATTCCAGGACGTCAAGAAAATTCCTCCATCTGTGATAGAGAGCTGTGACTTCTCCGTCCCACCACCCTGGAATCTGAGGTAACTTTTTCAGTCTCTTAATCTTTGACACGCCTTTTCTTTACAACACAAATTCAATTATACACAGTTAACTACTACTACTATACTACTGATACACTATTAAAAATATAAAGATTAACATAAAAGGTTAATGTGAAAGTAAAAAAGGACAGAAATTGCATGAAAAGTTTAGTGGTGTAGAAGTCTGACAAAATCTGAATTTCATGTCTGCTGCATGTTCATCACAATACAGGAAATAATATTCACACAGAGCTTTTAATAATACTGTATTTAGTAACTGATGAAATTTAGCTTTAACTGTTTTTAATTTAAGTATTGTATATTATTTATGTTACTTGCATTTTCAACATTTGGGATTTATACACAACAGTCTGGGATATACTACAATATTAAATATACAACATGCTGTAAATGTTTAACAGAATTGCGACAGAGTTTTAAATTCTTAAAGCCATTGTTTGTTTGATTTCATAGTTGTAAATGAATAGTGACTGTAAATTTGTATATTTTCAGTTACCTGCTTTCTGTTTTTAAATACAGCAGTTATATCTACCCTTACAGTAGCAGTTTTTATTGGTAGATCACAACTAGTAATTTTGCACTCTTAGTACTTTTTCACAGTCGTTGCACACGTGCACTTGTGTAGTCTTGTGTAGGTCTGTGTAGTCTCATGAGCCTCTGTGTTGTTCTATGTTAGCACCATGATCCTGTTTCATTTCTCTAGCTGTATATGGTTGAAATGACAAAAAAAGGCAACCTAAGGTCAGTCTAATTTAAATAATTCAAACAGAAGCCTTAAATCTGTAGCACTATAATATCTTAATATTTTCACTATTGGTATAAATCTGACAAAAATTTGTCATGAAGACAGAAGCAATATTGTTGTATCTTTCTTCTGAGTCAAATTAAAACCACAAACCACGTGTTTGTATTGATTTAATTAAATAAGTAAGCACTCATTTGGGACAGGAGACACCTGGGAGGGTTTCATTATTAGATGCATTTTTTCCTCACTTTATATTTAGGTCAATGACGTGTGCGATGTTATGCAGCTCTCTGTTCTTTGGCTCTGACAGTGCTGCTTGATTGACAGTAGGGTTACATGCGCAGTGCTCATGGGATAAGGCCAAAACCTTTGTCTTGACCCTTTGACCTCCTTCACTCTCTCAGCTCTCTCGGAGGAAACAAACACCGTACATTATTTTTGTATTTCTGGCTGACATGCAGATGGACGGATGGTGGGACTACAGACGATGGCGGAGGATGACGGCTTGAGCGAGGGAAAGCAAAGGGCTAGTTTTGTATGCTTTCACATCGGCAGTCAGAAGACGGTGGGAGAGGAAGGATGGAGGCAAAATTAGGGAAGGACTTAAGGGACTGAGGAAAGGAAGGCACCTGGATTTGAATGCAGACATGCATGCCAGGGTGAGAGAACAGGAGGAGGTGAGGAGGCGAAGAAAGGGATGGCAGGAGGGCTCCTGGCCATGGATGCAGACAGACAGGCAGGGTAACCAGAGGCAGGCGGTGACCTTCTCTGCTGCTGGAGGATCGAAGGCTTTATTTAAAGGCCTGGTCAATGCTGGGTGCTGCTGAGGTATCAGCCTCGCAGCCAGGCGACTCATCACCACTGTAATACAACTCTCTACAACCCCTCTCTCTCACACACACGTAGACACACGCACACACACACACACAGACAGGACAGGACACTCTCTGGACACCTCAGGTTTTACACTGTACAGTTCGAGAGCTGGACAGGGGAAACTACAGCATCAGCATCGGCTAATTTTACTGTGCAGCAGACAGTACGCGCTACTTTCCTCATGCGCTCAGCAATGTGAAGCACACGCTTGTTTTGCCTTTGAAATGCACTCCATCACTGTCCACTTATTTTAATGTTGGCCAGTTATAAATGACAACATAACCCACAATTTTCGCTGATATTGACACAGTAAGGATGGAGGTGGTGAAAGTGGTGGTTAAAAAAAAAAGTCAGAATGCAGGCTGCAGGCTGCTGAGGTAGGGCACCTGCTTCTTTGTGTGTGTGTGTGTGTGTGTTCGCATGTGTGTGTGGCTGCGGCGTTAGGACACCTGCATGCTTCAGCACTTTCTGGCAGTCAGGAGCTCTGAGGTCACAGGCAGGGGAGTGGAGAGGGCACATTAGAGTAAGCTTCAGATCCCCCACCCACCCACCACACCTCCACGATCCTTCCATACTGCAACTCACACCAACCCCCAAGTTTCCTTCTTCCCCCGTTACCCCACCGTCATCCCTCCGCCTCCTGCTCGTCTTCCCCCCACGGTGACGTCAGCCGCTCGGGGGGGGGGCACAGGGAGGCAAGGTGCCTCTGTGGCTGACAGCAGGCAGGTCAGGTTTTTGTAGACATGGCAGAGGAGGAAGGACACATGCGCACATGCACGCAGTCACGTCAAGATGTGGAAGTATGTAAAGGAGAGGATGCTTAAATTGAAGCACGCGTGCTTCAATTGGGCTGTAAACACCTAAAAAAGCTTTTTCCAATAGTTGGTGGTTAATATCAAAGCTTCAAAAATGGCAGGTAGGAAAAATAGTAATATAAACTAGGCGGAAGATTAATATTGATGTATATCATGATAACTGTTTAGGCTTGTTAATGTTCATCACATTGGACTACGTGGTAATGGCAAACGAGCAGTTTTACTCTGGGGAAAATCTGACTATTGGATCAACGTAGTTAAAACAGTATATCATAATTTTTGATATTGAAGCAAAATTCCACAATATGATTTCAGATGAAAAACAATAAATATCAATGCATCGCCCACACTTACTGTAATTCGAACATTTGTCACTTATAAAACACTACAGCTGTGTTGGAGTCTTTGTGTTCTGCAGCGACAAGGATTTGCTCCATCCACAGCTTGACATACTTCACTATTCATTTACTGCCTGGGATATATATAACTACTAGCTGCTCTGTGTGAGACTCGTTACACTGTTACAGTCTTGATAGTGACACAGAAGTCATCCCTCAATCCAGAAAATCCAAATGACAGGGAGGATATGAACAGGATGTATGCTCATTATCAGGCCTGGTCTGGAAAAAAAGAGAGAGGAAGCAAGTAGATTTGGGTCTGGATCAGAAATAACAAAGAGGGAAAAGATTTGACTTTCCGCAGTTGTAAAGACACACAAACTGAACACAGAACAACTCTGTTTAGATTTGGATTGTTTTTTAAAATGTGTTATGTGTTTTCACTTTCTTCTAAACCACAGAATAGATGATACTTCATGAGAAAGCTTCTCCCTCAAGCCAAACCTCCAAACATCAACCCGCTCCTCTTTTTAACTTGTGTTTAGTTTTCTCTCCGATGTTTCAGTTGTTTAAGCCTGGATTGTGTTGTTTTATTCAAACATAATTAGTTGTAAAGCTGTTGCCATTGTGTGTGTGTGTGTGTGTGTGTGTGTGTGTGTGTGTGTGTGTGTGTGTAAGCCTCAGAGCCACTGTTGTCCTCAGGTTGTGACTGTGTGTTCACAGCATGATTGAGAAAGGAAGTTGTGATCAGCCGGAGGTTAGTGTGATATAATGTATTCCCCTGAATAACCTCAGCCAGCAGCCCAGGGCCTTCCTCTCGCCCGCAGCCTCCTTCTCCTTACACACACATAAACACACACACACACTCCTTCCTCGCTCCACTCGTGTCACCATCCCATCCTCTCTCCCTGCGGTGACTGCCCAATGCTAGCTGCTTAGCGTTGCACCCAGTGTCTAATTGAATTCCAACACTCCAGTGTTAGCTCCTGATGCTATAGAGATGTTAACACGGCACAATACTAACAGTCCTCGGGACGTGTTTCAACACCACTCTCCTAAAGAGAAAATGAGTGCTAAGCTCACTCTGGCAGCGCATGATTTATTTAAAGCTCCAAACTATGTCTTCTGCATCCCCTAAAGGATCGTTTTTTATAGCCATGAGCGAATCAGCACTTCATATACACACATGCAGCACATACAGAATGTTTTGTGGCTACACTGTTGGTAGACAGAATGTGTGTTTCCTCTCACTTCTCAAGCTTCTACTCGAGTGTATCTATTGTGCCTTATATAAATGTGTCTGCTGCTCTCTCTGCATCCATATTGCTGGCGATGCCGTCCATCCCCTCTCCCTGACACCCTCACTTTTATTCCCTGGCTCTCAAACACTAGCTCTGGGCGTTAATGGCACATATTTCCTGGGCCTGGCTGAAACGGGATGCATCTTCCCCTTGTTAGCTTGATAAATAACCATGCTGCTGGGAAAGTGCTGAATTTTAGCTTTCAGCCTCTATTTTCTGCTGGATGACATTAATTTTAAGTGCTGAGAAGGAGCTAACTAATACAGACAAATAAATAAGGTGGAGTAAGGGAAGGTGCAGCGGTGCTGGAGTCACTCTGCTGTGTCGTCCCCCACCCCCCTTTACCTTTTTATACACAAGCATATATGCAATATGCAAACCTGCAAAAATATACAATACACACAAGGGTCAATCAAGCAAGCACAGTCACACTTAGTTTCTCAATAGATGCTTCTGCTGTTGTCCCAACTGTGAAATCATCTTGTACGACCTGCAGAGGTCAAATGTTTAACATGTTGCAGGCAGACAGACAGTCTGTCAGGCTGAAAGTAAGATTGGCTCCATGCTATCTACTGTCTGTGTCCGTCGATCCTCTCTGTCTGTCCCTCTTACCCTCTCATTCTGTCTTCCCGAATTCTGTGTTTCAACAGAAATAGAGATTAGCGAGGCAGTAATGTGGCGGCAGATCACAGTGCACACACTATGGATAAATTGTCCTTATATGAGTTTATAGAAACAACAAAACATAGATCAGGTTGGAAATTAAGTGGCTCATTTGTGGATTGTAATTGAGAGGTAGTTAATTATTGTTTAAGAAAAGATAAGAAAAAAGTTGTTTTCTAGATAAAATACTTATATTAAAGCCCCTTAAACTAGATGAATACAGGTTAAATTATATTATTTATTGCATTGTTGTTTGTGTGTGCCGCATTTGTGGATATGTGCCATATTTGCTGTGCTGTAACAGCATGAAGGCAGGTTCATCTCCATCATGTTTGCTGTTTGGAAAGTATTCAGTGTTCTTGTAGTCAACACCAGACTCTAAGCTTCATCAGCTGCACTACATGGACATTTGACATGGAGAAAAATATAATGTAAGAAAGTAGATCAGTATACAAAATTAAATTTGAATCTCCCAAAATATCAACTTTTATCATATTTTGCTTATTATTTTCATCTTGATCCTGTACATTTTTATTGCTGTCCTTTAATTTATTTATTTTTATTTGGTTTTATTTAATTGTACATTCTTTTTTCTTGTTTTACAATTTTGAACCCACAAAACCCCAAGATGACTTGACATTTAGAAAAAGCTTCTGTCACATGACAGCAGCAAAAGCACAGCAATAAATGTGTTTTACTGCTGGCCTATAAACAAAGAACACAAGGATGTCGACAGGACAAACCCAGCACTACTGATGCTGTGAATCTACTTTTATCAGTTCCAGCATGCAGGATTATACTTAGATGCATGACTATCAGTTGCAGGTCACACACACACACACACACACACACACACACACACACACACACACGCACACACACATAGTCGATAGTTTTTTAAAAATGCTTTCAAACACGTAACTGTTCCTGTGCATTCACATTCATTATTTGTTGCACAAATCCATGTAAACCGCACAGAGAACACACACACACACACACACATGCGTACCTCTGTTGTGCATAACACAACACAATGAAGTGGCTTTGGCTGAGACACCTCATACATTATTTTAACAATGTATAGCGCGGTGAATAAAAAGGTCACTGGTTGAGAACTGGCTCCATGTAACAATAAGATGCATGAACTGAGCACTGCAGGCCCTTCAGTCAGCATCCTGCTGCTGAACGCTACGAGGAGGAAACACATGTGAGCTAGAGTGATAGATTCTACTGTAGGCTGTGTGTGTGTGTTCATTCAGTGTTTACGGGGCACCGTTGTGAAACACCTTATAACAATAGATTTACTTGGTCTATCATTATTGATTGTACATTTTTCCCTTTTGCCCTTTGCCTCACTCTGACAAATGTCTTTTATTACGACAACATTTAGCTTTTAAAGCACATCGTGAGCTGAGATTTTGTTTTGAAAGCAAAGCTTTTATTAGACTAGTTCTATTTTTGTATCCGAATACGCTCTCACTCTGCAGATGCGATGCAAGCATCTGCGTGTTTCTGTTTGCAAAGCAGGGTTTAATTTTCAGGGTGTATTTATCACATGCTGTCATGTTGCGGTCACATGACCACATGAACCACTGCCAGCAATTAAGGCTTATAAATCACTCATTTACAGGAAGAGAAGGAGGGACGGAGTCGGGCACCAAGGAAACGAGAGAGTGATAACAGAGAGGGAGAGGAATAATGAATAGCCTGTACCCCTTCACAGATATTTTATTCTTTCATTTTTTTTGAGCCATGATGGTGAATGTTATTGTGTTTGGGCAGTGTAGTATGAACTGTTGCCAGTGAGGCTCATTGACTCCTACAGGCAGAGACAAAGAGACAGATGGTAGTCGTTTGTGTGGTTTACTGTGATTGTGACCTGACTGCATTGCTTTATTTACTGGTGCAGGTGTGTGTGTGTGTGTGTGTGTGTGTGTGTGTGTGTGTGTGTATGTGTTCGTGTGTGCAGCTAAGCCACGACTGCATAAGCAAATGCATTTGTGTCATGACAGAAAAAGAGATGCAGAGAACATACAAACACAGTCATTTCACACTCTCTCTCTCATTCCTGCTGATGGATTTCCTCTCAGTCTAAACAGGAGAGCAAACACTCCGATGGCTCTGCATGCAGCTATTCCAGAAACCCAACAATGCTGGATTTTAACTATAGTATCCTTAGTTTCCATCAGTGTGTAGATGGAAATATTGTTTTAATGCAGAATTTAACCTGCCTGCCTAGAAATTGAGACATAGCACATAACTGTGAGCTTTAGTTGATGATCAGACACAAGTCTTAGAGATTTCCTACGATGTCTAACCTGTGTAGCGTCTGTATAAGTTACATCAGACTGTGTGTTTCAGCAGCCCGGGTCAGTGCTCTGCAGAGTCTCAGCCTGTCCACTCTCCTGATTAAAGATTCATGACAAAAAAAAAGAGAGAGAAAAAAAAAAGAAAAAACGGCTTGCTTTTAATGGGCTGGAAGACGAAGAAAGAAGCAGAAGAGAGGAGTGGGAAGGAGACAAGCTGCGGTTTCTGTTCTGACAGTCTGAACTCTCATTCACTAAAGACAGTCACTAACTGACTAAAGGTGTGTTTACAATGAGACCATTGAGAGCTGAGTGAGTTGGGTTTCCTGCTGCAGAGGCAATATGATAACAAAAGATCTGGGATCAAATTTCACTCTGTAAATGTTTAAGGGGGTGTTTGTTATGTAAAGAGTTATTGTATTTTAAATTAATTGCTGACTTTATTGTGCAGGAAGACGTCTTATGGCTGTGTGTGTGTGTGTATGTGTGTGTGTGTGTGTGTGTGTGTGTGTGTGTGTGTGTAATAATGGTGTTGTCAACAGAGGCAGGACCCTGCTGTCTGTGTCTTACCAGTAGTATAATTATAAAAGTGCATAATTATAATAACATTCACCACACTAAAATACAAAGTCAACACTGCGACTGTGAGCGTGTGTTTTGTGCGGTATGTGAAGTATTGCCAAACACTGTCTGGTATGGGAAAATCTTTAATTTTTCCAGAGGAGAGGACAGACAGCGTGAGTTTCTACATTCTCTCTGATCTTCGCTGCCTACTTGCTTTCTAGTAACATCAGTAATGCAAGCTTTGTAATGTGTTTTTTTTCCCGTGAAGAATGTTTAGGGGATTTTAGCTTTTAATTAAATCAGTAAGAAATTACACAAATAATTGTTGATTGTTGTTTATGATCTTTATGGTCAGTAAGGTCACAGACAACAAGAGTAAGATAATTTTCTATTTAAGATAGGAATTTCTTTATTTATTATTCCCATTAATAAAATGTGACAGATGGGAGTAGCAGTGCCTGAGAGTTTGTGCAGGGAATTTCTTTTGATTTACTTGCTGAAGAAGTTACCACCATCCTTCGAATCTCTGATCCCATAAAGTTTTTTTTTCACCATACACGTGGTAGGAAGGGTGCTGCTGCGCCGCCTTCATGCCCCCCCTCTCTCTCTCTCTCTCTCTCTCTCTCTCTCTCTCTCTCTCTCTCTCTCTATCTCATCTGCTCTGGTTCAAGGTTGATTCACATATGGGGACAGAAAGGGGGAGAGAGGGAGGAGAGAAGAGTGAAGGAGGAGCAAACAGGGGAGAGGGACGCGAAAAGCTTTTATTTGGCATGTGTGAACATAACGTCCTGCCTACAAAAACTCAGGGAGCAAAGGTGCCACATGGGCTCTCTCTGTATCTTTGTCATTTTTAAACACACACGTACAACGTTTCAAAAGCA